TAAGGAGTGTTATGTAGAAATTGAAAAGCTGGGAAATTCAAGTCATCCATCTTATTGCATCATATCGTAAAAATAATCTCTAGCTGATGCTGAGCGTTTGCAGAGCGTGTGCACAAAGGAGAAGGCCAGTGGGACGAAAGGCCAGCCCCTGCCCTTCCCCAGAGAGGTTACACGAGAGGCATGGTGTGTCCCTTTGGCCTTCAGACCTGCTCGCAAGCAGCTCATTCTCCTTAGCTCTGTGAACTTCTGGGTTTCAAAGTGTGATGTGTTTTGTAGGTGGATGTCGAAAATGAGACCACTTCAGAATTAAAAAAAGGGCTTGAAGATGTTATTCATAGATGCATGTGTGTGTGTTGTTTGATCTAGGAAGGAGAGAGCCTCTGGGTGGGGAAAGCTATAATTTCCTACATATGTAAAATCTTTCAGCGCTTTTTTTTTTAAATTTTAAAGTCTGCCATCTTAATTAAAAATCTAATTTTGAAATCTATATTCAGGCAGCTTTCCTGTTTCTATCCAGCAGACTGCAGTTCCCATTCACAAAGTCCCTTGTTTTTTTTCTAGCTTTCCTTGGATTTATTTGCAGGGCAGTGTTTTGTTTTCTCTGTAAGCCGTTTGGAATACATCTTCACTAGCGCTGTAGCCGGAGGGTTTGTATGTCATTCAAAAATAAAAATAAAAAATCTCCACCTACTGAAAAGTGAGCAGCATAGCCCTAGCAACCGGCTGGTGTGTTTGAACCAGAGGAAGGGACGTTAAACAAGTAAGACCAAATAACATCATCTCCGTAACGGCCAGGGATGTGGTAGAAATGCCAGCTAGTGGTACGATTAATTGTAACTGATAGTGGAGATAGCTGTGTTTTGTATTTTATTTTTATTTGTTTAATGGTGGATTTTAAATACAGCCTTGGTGAAGTGGTGCTTGTTTGTGCTGGTATGAGCAAGTTATTCAGCTGGGAGCTGTAGAAGGGGGAATCTGCTACTGTGAACCTCTCCCCCCACCCTGTCCTGCGCTGATTGTGTATGTATTGAAGGAATGAGGAAGGTAAGTCATCATTTTCATGGAAAACAAGGGAAAACTTATTTTAAATGGTCTGTCAGACAGGCTACTGTCAGTATTCTCCTCCCAGGTGTGTTCTCGATGGTGCTATGCCAGGGGTGACTTTCGTGCATCTGCTTCTCTATCTCTTGTGTGCACCTTGGTTTCTCATTCATTCATCTGCTGTGTCATAGATCCACCTGTCTTAAAAGGATTATTTTCTTTTTTATTATTTTTTGTTTTGTGAATGTAATTAATTTAAACTGTTCGACATAATCTGAACTATTAGCTGTTCCTTATTTTCTTAAAGAGCTCCGTTGCACTTGCACTTGGATTTTCATTCATGTTACCCGACTCTGTGGTTTTCCTTAGTCACTGCCAATAAAAAAAAACAACCCTGAAGCCTTGAGTTTTCTCTTAGGTTTTACGTCTATTAAGCCAAAGCCATAAAAGGCAAAATGAAGAAAGGAACATTTATCGGGAAGGATCTGCTGTGCTAGTGGTCAACCTAGGATCCTCTCAAAGTTTGTGAAGTCAGAGGCAGTCTCAGTGCCCTTCAGCAGGTTGCAGGGATTCTTCTGCTGATGTTTCAGTATTGTCCTCTTTCCTATAATCCACAAAGGCTACTGATTTATGACATCTGTCTAATGATTGTGGGGTTTTTACTCCCTCTGCACCTCCCCTTTCCACCCCCTTCCTCCTGTGGGGTTTGCTGTCTTTTCTTGTTTCGTGTAGTTTGATTTGTGGCCCGCTGGTGTATGGGTCTTTGATTTCCTCCCTGTCCATCCGTTCGTTGTGTGCTGGTGATGGTGTGCAAAGAGTAAAAGCAATTCTGTGCCCTCACTGGGGAAGGATGCTTCCAATAGTATTTTTCTGTCGCAGCGGTTTTACTTCCTGACTGCGAGATGTGATGCACTGTGCTGGAACGGTGGCCAGAGCAGGATGTACTGTTCCAGGCTAGTTTTCAATGACCACTTTTAGGACCAAATAAGCGGGGAAATGGGATTTTGTTGTGTCATCTCCAGCTGTTTGGCTTGGGGGCTTTCTGTTCTTTTTATTTCACCTCTCCACAAATTTTTCATCTGTAGGCTTGGTCAGGCTGCTAACAGATGCTTCATGAGTGGTGGAAGGGTTTTTGAAGATCAGTGTGTTTGCAGTCTTGCTTCACTGAATTTTATCTTAAAATTTCTCACTGCTGCTCTCAGCAGCACAGCACCTTTAGCAGTAGCTGTGGAGGAAACAGTGTGCAGACTGAAGTCTCTCCTTCCTACCAGGTAGGACCTGGTAACAGTGGGGTCAGTGCTGGACGTCTCCTGGATGCTGCTGTAACCACCGTCTGCCACTGCTGCTCCCTTCAGCAGAGCTGTTTTAGAGAATTTTTGATAACCATGGACAAACCCTTGTTTAGGAAAATCAAGGAGTGCTTTTTTTGGAAACATGAGGCGTGATCGTGCCTGGATGAAGTGCAGGGATGGTGATTTTTCTAAGCCTATGAGCCATGGCTTTATTGTGCAAATGTAAATTAGCAGTTCCTTGCCCCCAATTAGTGTCTCTCCTAGACAGAAGGTGAGAAAACAAGGGGTGCACTGTGAACAAATGTGATTAGGGAGCACTCTGTTCCTTAGCACATTTTTAGCCTGCAGCTTGGCATTGCCTAGGTGGCCTCCTCAGTACTGTATTTAATGCTTGATCATGGGCTGTGCTGAGCTCAATGGTGGCTGAGGTGGGAAGGCACCTCTGGAGGTCACCAGCCCACCCACTGCCCAAAGCAAGGTTACCCAGGGCAGGCTGTGGTGGGCAGTCAGTCTGTGAGTAGCTCCAAGGATGGAGACCCCAAAGGGCAACTCTTCCAGTGCTTGCCACTCTCACAGTAAAAAAGTTTAGATTTCTGTTTTTAATGCTTAGGTGGAATTTCCATTGTTTCAATGTGTGCCCATTGTGTCTTGTCATGCCTCTGGGCACCACTGTTTTCAGTCTGGCTCCATCTTCTTTACTCACTCCATCAGGTGTTTCTACACACTGGGAATAGTGTGGGCACTCCAGGTTCCCAAACATGACTGTTGTGGGTTTGTGGATGTTTTGCATCATTGGTTCTTTTCCACTTTCAAACTGTGAGGGATCAGCATTTTGCCTGAGGTGTCATCAGCTTTGGTGTTTCTCTGTGTGCACTTCACCTTCAGAGGGAATTCCAATGCAGATGGCCATGTTTACTAGACTTCAGCAGCTTATCCAAGGCAGGATATCCTAAAAGGAAAGGACAAGACTGTCTTCAGAACTGTCTAAGTGAATGTGCTTGTGAAAGCTGTGTTTTCTGCTCATTTTTATCAGGCGCAGAGGCACCAGACCAAATATCTTGAAGGATCAGCATACTATGGCGGGTATTGAACTGCTTGAAGTTTGTTATTTACATTGTGTTTAAATTCAGAGGCTTCCTTCTTGAAGGTTGAAAGTCTTCAGTTCTGATGCTACTGCATTTTTTAAAGATTTTTTACTTTAACTTACAAGTATTTTGACTTCTTAAAGTTCTCTTGGCTTTTCTGCCTCTGGCAACTAAATAATAAAGCGAGGCATTTGTCAAAAGTGCAGTAGTCTTTGTGCTGTCCTTCAAAAGTTACCTTGGAGTTTGGGCCTACTTTATGTAATAAAAGTTTTGGTGTGGAAAATGAAATGTTTGTTGGCATTTTAAGGATAGCGTTTCAACAAAGCTGTCTGGCAATCTCCAGTAAGAGCTACCTCCCAGCTAGGTCAAACCAGTAAGGTGGCTCCAAAGAGGAAAAATTCAGTTTATAATGTAAATTTTTTTGTTTGTTTTGGGGTTTAGTAAACTCTTTTCCAAGACTTATGCCAGAGAAACTGTGAACAACTTTCGTGATTGCATATGTTGGGGCAAATGTCAGCAGCGATGTGGCCTAATACAAAAACCAAATGGCAGGGTATGCAAAAGGTTAAAGCGAGTTTTCCTTCCTGGTGTTTGTTTAGCTTTGTTTCTTAACTGTATTTATAGCAGAAGTAGTCTCACGTGTCCTAGATGAAAGCCATGACAATCTGGGCTATTTCAGTGGCTTGTGTGTCCATTGTGCTGGGGTGGAGGGATCGGGGATGCCTCTGACCTCTGCAGCTCCACTTCAGCAGTGTACCTAGGCATGTGCTGAACTTGTAGCCCATCGGGATTTCGAGTCTGCTGGTTCCCCTGCCCAGGCAGCACGTCAGGCAGGTTCGCTTTTCCAGGCTCTGCTGGAAGTACTCCTCTGGGGACCACTTCGGCTTTCAGAAGCTTGAGAGTAAGATCAGATTGCATCGTTATGGCATGAATCTCTGCTAAGTGTGGAGCAGTGGTGTCGGGGAAGCAGTCTGTGCATGCATGCTATGTCCAGTGAGTCTTGGGCATTTGAGATATCCTGCCTGCAGGCAAATGACTGCATGCCCAGGACTTCGGGATTGTCAGACATCCAGAAATCTTGTGCAAACGGTCAGACTCCTCTTTTTCTGTGCTAGCAAATTCTTGGAGAGAAAAAATACAGTGGATAGACACATGGTTTATTGCTGAGTTGCAGCTTTTTTTTAGTGATAGAAGGCCTGTGTCTTCCATGGGAGCTTACCTGAAGTGCCATGTGGGATTTCTGTGGTGCTCTATGGGATGCCTCTTCAGTGACGCAGACCTGCGGGCAGAGCAGGTCATGGGCTGACGAACAGCAGGAACTGGATCCTGAGGTTGAGGCTTTGATTCTTTGATCCCAGTTCATGCCTGGTGGTGAACAACTCCAAGCCTCATGGTCAGCAAACAGCCCCAGTCTTCCTACTGGTCTGGTGATGGTGATGTGTGAATTCAGAAAACATGCAGTGAAATGAAATTCTCTTTCACAGGTTGAATTGCAGACCTGAGGCTCTGAATGCAACTTGAACTGTCAGTGGTTTTTTGCTCCTTATGGTGTAGCTGGTGATCGTTCTTGAGAAGAGAAAAGATGATGAGTGATGCAAGTGACATGCTCGCTGCGGCCCTGGAGCAGATGGATGGCATTATAGCAGGTAAACACTTGGTGTTCATTTATCTGTTTCGATCCTCCTTTCTCCTACCTGGAGTACAGAGTTTCAGACTGAGAAGGGAATGTGCTGGTAATTGGGTTTGATGTCTTCCATTATAGCTTAGCAGTTACAGATAAATGGAGTAGAGGGATTGCAGACTCTCACACACAGACATGGCTAAAGGGATTGTAGTTTTTCTCTTACTCTCTATCAAAATGCTGCTCAAAGTGGCTGAGTGACACAGGTCTGGTGCACACAGCACCATGAAAGCCAAGGACAAAGCCTGTTTCAAACCAAGATGAGTGCGTTTAAAGAGTAACTGCAAGGCAGGAAGAGTAAGTTTGCCTAATAGTGGCTACTCTGAACTTCTCTCAACTCTGAAGAGTTAAAAACATGAATTGAATTTTCCTTTTTTCAAAATATTTGGTTTGGACCTGCCTTTAGTTCAGTTACAATTTACAGGTACCTATAAAAAAACCTAAATGTTAAAGAGAGGCATCACAAAGTATACAACCTCTGCTTTTAAGTTTAGTCTAGTGAGTTAGAAAATAATCTAAGTACACAACACAGAAGAGCAAAGCAGCAAGAAGTTAATAGCTTAATCCTATTCCAACAGAGCTATGCAAACAGTTGCCCAAACAGAAAAAATATTATGCCAGGGTAGCAACACAGTTATAAAGTCTTTAATAGTTCCACTTAAAATAATTTCCCTTAGGGAAAAAAGTATCATACAGTGCGTGCTTCGTTTGAACAGTGACTTTTCTCTGCAGTTTTCCTGAAGATATTAAGGACACATAGCAGGAACACGTGTGGAGTGAATCCAGTTGGATCATAATGATCTCTAAAAATACATATAAGCCGTGACTTTAGTAATTTCCATAAGTAGATATTGGTATTTAATCAGATCATACATCTGTGTTTCCAAGAGCCTAAGTTGGTTGTGGCAGGATGAGGTTTAATATAAAAATAAAACGTAATGTTGGGATGTTTAAGTCACCACAGATTTAATTTACCCATGTGAACAGACCTAAAAAGTAATATAACAAAAGGATATCAAGTCCTATGCTGTTCTGGGGATTTGTTCCTCTTCATGTTTTTCAAAGGGAGTTAGCAAAATACTTCCATTTTTATGGCTTGCCAGATGAGATAAATTAAAGTTTGTGACAGTGCATATATGGCATACCACTGTAGTTTCCAGAAGTTGACAGTACAAAAGCTGATGCTCTGCCATGAATATGTCTCATTGTGCTGAGGTATTACAGTATTAAGGTCACAAATTAGGGTGCTGAAATTACAGTTGGAATGAGCAAGGTTGATTTAAAGCAATTTTAATCCTGAATTCATAGTTTCTTTCCTTACTTAATGCATAGCAACTTTTTAATGTAGGCCAAATGTATGTACTGTGAGTTAATGCAAATAAGAGATTATTCTCTTTATTAACATGCAAATGTCAGTGCTACCATGTCAAACCATTGGGGTTTTTCTAGTAGAAGTGATTCAGTCTTTTTATTTAGCTTCATATTTTTCTTTATTCTTTTAAAAATTTTGCAGTGCCTTGGGACAGCGTAACACATTTCTGCATGAAAAATGCAGAGCACAATTTCCTCTGGAAGCTGGCAGTGTCTGGCTTGGGTCATGCAATCCATACAGGGTGACTCAAAGCGTTAGCAGATCCTGTTCACCCCACAGCACTTCTCACCTCCAATGCGTATGGGGAAGCAAGAGCCCAACCCGTGCCTTGAACCCATGGACACGGTTGTGGCATCCGTGTCCTCTGTCAGACCAACCCACCTCCTTCCTGCTGGAGCTGCATGTAGCATGTAGCAAGGCCTTCCCCTTCTCCAAATTGCTGCATGGTGCAGGGCAGGATCAAGCACCAGCACTGAATCTGGCCCAGATAAATCCCCTGGCATTTCTCAGCCTTGCTGCATGTCTGACCTGCTCTCCTCGTGCCTGACCCAGTACGATTTTGCTCCCTGCAGGTTCGAAGGCGCTGGAGTACTCCAATGGCATCTTTGACTGCCAGTCCCCAACCTCCCCCTTCATGGGGAGCCTGCGGGCACTGCACCTGGTGGAGGACTTGCGGGGCTTGCTGGAGATGATGGAAGCGGACGAGAGAGAGGGGCTGCGCTGCCAGATCCCGAACTCGACGGCAGAGGCTCTGATCGAATGGCTTCAAAGTCAAATGGTAAGATCTTGCCTTGTTTCACTCCTAATGCACTTGTTTTGCTTATCATTTATCTGTTGGACCAGCTCGAGCAGTGGGGCTTTGTTTTATATAGTCATTTAAAAGTTTTGGTGTAGGTTTCAAAGAACCAAAGGAAAGAGATTTTTGGTTTGGATATGCTGCTGTGGAGCCTTGGAAAAGCTGTCACTCAAATACCTCATACAAAGGGTTGGCCTGTGCTTTCTTTGATGTACCACCATGCCTCAATCTAGGGAGTTTCAAAATTTTTTGTAATTGGAGTTTCATCTCAGAGAGTTGGGGAAAGACATTTTTATATGAATCAGATGCTTAAATGGGGGGGAAAAAGCTGTTTTCAAGATGAACTTTTCACTTAAAGGCATTTTTGGCAGCATATTTTCTACAGGGACCAGTGCTGTTACTGAGCTTCCTTATCTGGTTTATAGCAGAAGTGAGTGGTATAAGCGCAGCATCCCTTTAATCTGGATATCAAACCAAATTTTTATTTTCTGTGTTTGTGAATCTGCCAAATTTTGTCACCTTGTTTTAAAAACACACCAAAATGTACCTGACAAGGCTGTTACTTCCCCAAGACTTGGTTTTCCAAAAAAAATCAAATACTGTTCGAGTGGAGGCTACCTGAAGCCTATGCTGGGAATTAAACTGTTGTGCTTATCAGAAGGTGTGTTACATGGCGTCATTCTTGTAGGACCTGCTGGTTTTCCCTGTGATCGGTGACTTCCTAGCAGGGCCAAAGATGAGTCTGTGTGCTCAGCATGGTCTTGTGGCAGGGTTTGCACTGTGGTGGTCCAGGTGTGCACAGGTTTTGGGGAAGTTCCAGCAGTGGAAGTCAAGACTTAATTCTGGAGGCTGTGCCTCAGGGTTTAAGTTAGGCTGTAGCTGTTACAGTGACAGTAGCGAGTGTGCACTTGCATGTATTTTGCCAAATCTGTCTTAACAGTAGTGTCTGGGTCCTGTTGTCTCACACTTGGTGCTGGCCAGGGTAACACCATGGTGACTCTGTATTGCTGCTGTTGGGACAGCCAGCCACCATCCCCTGGTCCTCTTCCCGGGATGGGCATCACGCTCCCTCACCCTGGAGCCACGGCTGATTTTGTGTAAAGGGTTTTTATCTTGATACATGGATTTATTTTGGTGCTCAGTTGCAGCATGCGATGCCGCAGCCCAGAATGATGGATGCAGGACTGTGCTTGCCAAAGTCGGGGCTGAGGTGGCACTGGGTGACCAGATGTGCCATCTGGTGGCACGCAGGCTGTGTGCAGCGCTGTGGGGAGAGATGGGGACCCGGGCTAGCACGGCTGGGCTGGCTTGCATAGCTCTGGCAGAAAGGTTTGAGAAGAGAGCTTTTTTTTCTTTTTGTCTTTGCTTTGAACTACTCATTTGAGAGTGCCTGAAACTTAATGAAGCACATGGGAGCTTTCCCACTGCCTCCAGTGGGATTTGGATTGTGCCCCCACTGTCAAAGCTTGGCAGCCAACGCTGAGATCAGGAGGAGGAGACGGGAGTGACATTCGAGTCAGATCTTTAAAACATGCAGTGTTCCTGCTAACATCAGCGTTTCCTTCCTCTATAATGTACAGCAGTGAGCATCGCTGTAACTAGTCTGTGCCCTGTGCAGAGCAGGAATCGAGGGACATAGCCGGTTTCACACAAGTATGGACTTGATAAATTAAAAAAAAAGTTCATATGCTAAATAAAAGCCTTGGAAAATTAACTTCTCCCCGTGGTGTGCATAGACGACAGTAGTCCGTGCTTGGTGATGCTGATCCACCACGTGTTGTTCTGAAGTAAAGGAACTCAGCAGCATGGCTGTTGAGATTAGTGAGGTGTGAAGGCCAGGCGCTGCCCCTTGTGGCAGCAATTGTGTGATTTAGGAATGCCAGGTCCTTCAGACGATGACATGGCAATGACACAGTAATGGTTTTCATTGTGGCTGTGGGCTGAAGCTAGGAGAGGAAGGGCTCTGTTGTGCCATTCAGCTTAGCACCCCCTGAGCACTGGAAATGATGTGCAGGGGCTGTGTGTACAAAAGGTTGCAGAAAATAGCTATTCCATTTATACTTCTCCTCAGTCTGCCTCAGATTATTCCCCCATACTGTCTAGCATCCTTAAAGCCCCTAGTAGGAAAGACAGAACATTACAGGTCGCACTGTAGTACAGGAATAGGATTTGCAAGTGTCACCAGTGTCACTGGTCCCTGTCTGAGCACAAAGGTGTTAGACAAAGTGCCTGGATGATTTCCAGGAAGGCTTTCTGCAATTATGCCCATCCTTACTGAGGAAGGAAAAACACCTCCTTGGTTTGAAATCCATTTAGTCCTCCACGCGTGAAGAAGTTGCATCCACCAGGCTATTCAAAGCTGCTGGAACTGGTGCGTGATATCCCATCTCAAGCTGTAAGCAAATCTTTCCTGTCTCAGAGGAAAACAAAAATAGTGTTCACTGCTGCCAAACAGTGTGTCACAAGAGAAAAATCCTCTCCTGGCCCCTACAGGGAAACCGCTGGTGCCCTGGGAAAAGGGTCTGACAGCAGTCTCCCAGAGTTGCTCTCTTCTGTAAAACAGGGCAGAGCATTCAGTTTTGCTGTGCTAGAATTGGCTGCCCTGTGTCCCTGTACTGCAGTTAGTGACTGCTACCTTTCTGCTTCTCTCAGTGTGTTAGAGAAGTGTATGCAAGCGCTCAAAAAGGGCCAAAGAGTTAAAACCCCTCATGCTGATTTTTTCGCTGGTGGATGCCAGATGGCCACGTGACACCAGAGCGCTTGCCCAGTGCCCGGACATCTGGCAGAGCTCTTCTGAGCAGCCCTTGGATGGTCCCCAGGGAGAGTTCAGAGAAGTTGAAATGCAGATCTGTACTGTACAAATATGCCCATTTAACTATAACACATCATTTCTAGCTGTCTGCCTACAACTCAAACCCAATTGCTCTGTTGCTGAAACCCTGCTCGCGTCTCCACGTGCAAACGGATGGCAGGTGAAACGTTATGGTTAAAATCACAAATGAGACCATTTGTTCAAAGTCTGGAAAGGGACTGACGCGTTTTCTAAGCTCAGATGTGTTGGGACTGTGTGCTTTCACTGTGGACCAGACTTGAAATCCATAGCCAGATCATAACTCTTCCAAAGTTTGGGATTTTTTACAGATTTCTCCTGGTCAACAGGAATGTTTAATATATTCTCATGTGTGCTTTAATAAAACATGTGCTGTACTCTGAAAATGGGGCTTCTGGCTTGAATATAGACAGCATGAGAGTAATCTGTAACATCATCATCAGTAACAAGACCACTGTAAATGTAACTGCCTTTTGCAATACCAGGGCAGCTCTGTTGTGTCCAGCTGGAAGTTCATAGATGCATCTCTTGCAGAACAGTTCTCAAAAAACTTGCTCCCAGTGATGAACATTGCTCCAGTTTTGGGTTCTTTTCAGTTGAAACAAGCAAGAGACAGTCTTCTTTCTGGTTATTATTTTTCTTGACAGTGGTTTTTTTTTGTGTTTCTTTTTTTTAAATACATCTTATGCAACAGCCTTCCCAGAAAGGAGCAGCCAACTGTGTCTTGCTAAAAGGAGGGTGAAGGGTAGAAGTGGGTGGACAGTCACTTCCCACACCTCGGAGCCAGCTTCCCCAAGCTCCTCATCTGAACTTGTGTATGCAGGTCCTGTTACGCGTTTTCTCATTTTTAAAGGACATGTTCCTGGGAAGAAAGAGCCAGGATAATACTTTTTCATTAAAATCCACAGCAAGCGCAACTCTGGCTGTAGCTTTGGAAGTGACTTTCTGAATTTGAATATATATATGTATGTATGTATGTATGTATTTTTTTCACTTCAGAAGTGAATTTCTGAAGTTGACTGTAAGAACATAAAACAAAATTAATGGCCTCCGAAGGTTTCTTGAAGAGCCTTTTTAGCTCATCAGAAGATGATAATAAGTTTGAGCCGTGGTACCTACCCGCAGCGGCTTGTGCAGTCCAGGGTGTTGCTGCTGTGAACAGCTGATCTGTCATCTCACAGACCCGCCTCAGACTTTGACACTTCTTCACAAGTAGGTTCTTTCAGAGAGTGGCTGGGAGTAATGAGAGTTAATATGAGGGGATATTTGATTTCAGAGAGAGATTTTCCTGGCTGGGTAAACATAGCTTGTAATCTTACAGAGACATGTTGGCTTATTTTTTTTGAGGTTTAATATGGCCAAGTGCCGGGTCC